ATGGTTTACAGGCCCGCAACTTGAGAACAGAACATCCCACAGTAATTTGGGGGGGGGGGGGGAAGAGAGGTTGGACATGAGGATACGTTGTGATTAGCGATAACTGGATGCTTACAGCCATGTCCAGTGCTTACAGAGCGATTTTATTTATAGAGTTTAGGTTTACAGACTGGTGTGATATTGTGATAAGTTCATTTAGATGCTTGGTGTTTGATGTGTGTTTGGTAAAGATAAAAATGGCTGGTTTGAGCTTCTAGCTGAGCCTCCTAGCTTCACAGAGGTGTTTAGCATGGATACAATGCAATACTAGTTACTAGTCAGATATGAATTTCTCAATCTGCATTTTGCGCGAAAATCGCATGCTGCCCCCAGTGCAGGGTGGCATCATGGCTCAAGAGGGAAAGGCACTCCTGATCCACCAATGTTGACACAGTATTTTGAGGCCTCTGTGACTGTCCGCTGTGGTAATTAATCAGAGCTTGGTCCTTCAGACCATAACAGGATGAGAGAGTCCTGGGTGGTTTTGTTTCACATCACCCCACGTCTCTCCCATTTCCTGTCTCTTCTCTGAAACTGTCTAGTGAAAGTAGAACAGATTGGCCAGATTTGGTGAACTTCTGGTCCACATGTTATTTTTAGAGGTTCGCTTCAGTGCCCAACAACAGCTGAATCTGAGCACGCCTATTGGTGGTTAAGTTTGGGAGCCTGCTGTCCTCACTTTGCAGCACTTCTCCTCTCACCTTGTCATTACAGCTTCTTTCACACAAGTTTCACACAGCTCGGGTTAAATTTAGTCTCGCTGCCGGCATGTTGTTATGACAGAAACATTGACCTACTACCAGACTGCTTCAGACTCAGTGCTGTTAGGTCCATGACAGGCAGCACTTACAGAATTAAGTCTTTAATGACAGTCTGAACGAAGGTGTTTTAATCTTTACACAAAGAAGACAGAGCAGCCTGTATTGTGACACGTGACCTGTGTTATTGTAACTGGTATTAATATTTGAAGATTTCACCACCATTCCCTCAGTGACATTCCCCTACTGCGTTCCAGTGTCTTACATTACTTGAATGTGATACAGGATATCTCCCCAATGCATGCACACAGGCTTACTGTAGATACTGGAGAAGGGTTTGCTGATATTAAAGGAAATTGCTTTTGCCCCAAAACATACTTGGAAATTTGTCTCAGTCTAATTAACTTCATCTCGTACAACATGACCTGCTGCACCCTGCGTCCAAATGCCTTCAGCTTCTTGCTCTTGCTTCTCTATGGCATCCTGCTCCGTACACAAAAAAAGTAGGAAAAAAGGCAGCAACATGGCCGACACTGACTATAAATTAAAGGAAGTGTGGCTTTGTAGGTCTCTGTTTTCCTCACCTGGGGTTAATTCTTAAAAAATGGGATCTCTGTCATCTTGCCAAATCAATTTGGCACGTCAGTCATGCAGCTCGCAAGCGAAAGAAACAAAAATCCAACTTTTGTCTTTTTCTATCCAGAGTTTCCTCAGCCTGTAAAGTCTAAATCTCTAATACTCCACCTTCCTCTGCTTTCTGTCTCAGCATGTGCATGTGTGTGTTTTTTGGGTCACATGATAAAAGCTCCCGTGTCTCCTCCAAGCCCAACATTGTTTTGCAGAAAACTGGACCCTGTATTGTTGAAGTTGGACATCTTCGCACAGCCGTTTCCATGCAGGTTTTAATGAAGGACATTGAAAGCATGGCGTAGCTGCCCAAACAGTGCAAATAAGGGACAAAGAGGTTTATTTCCACACAAATAAATGTAGACAAACAAGCCGGTCATGCTGCATTAAGGAGAAAAGTTTATTTTGAGATGAATGAATAGAGTGAATGAAAATGAATAAAGAGGGTGGAGTAGAATCGAGATGTCTTTATGTTCCATTTTGTTTTTCTTCTCCTCTTCTTCTTTGTCTCCCTTCCTGTCTTTTAAGCCACGCTGCTTTCGGATTCTCTTCCAACATGTTCTCCTGCTTCCTCCTCTCCCCTCTTAACCTCCTTTAAACAAAGATTACAGCTGCCCAGAACTGGATCCTGTCCAGACTCAAGAGATCCTCGAGCCTTTGCACATGACCTGTCAGTCAAGCTCCCCAGTCTCCCTTGTCATAATACACACCCACACACACAGGATGGTCATTCAGTCTGTCTCTGTCCTCACTATCTGACAGCAGGATGTGTCCACCTGCAGAATAATATCTGACATGTTGTGATCAGCCACCGTTGATTTGGGTAGCGTAAGTGACTGTGTATGCGTGTGTGAGCACAGTATGCCTCTCCAGACACACTGACCACACAGAAGCAGATGGACACATGTACGTATACACACACACACACACACACACACACACACACACACACACACACACACACACACACACACACACACACACACACACACACACACACACACACACACACACACACACACACACAGTAGCCAGATGGTGACAGACTTGGCTCAGACCATGGCCCTCGCTGCTCTGATTCCATTCCATTTTTCTTCTTGCCACTCTCTGCCCTTTTTACTCGTTCCCTCTTTTCTTGGCTACCTTTCACATTTTAAAAGTATCTAGTCGGTGCTGCTAATTGTGCAGTTTTATTCTCCATCCTGTTTGTACACTGCACCAACAGGAACTGCTTTCTGCTAATTCTCTGTCTTAGCAGGATTCATTTGTATAAATTGCACACGTAATTTTGCTTCTAATAATCATAATTTTTGAAATAAAGTACATGGTTAAATAGTAAAATTGCTCAAACCAGATGTCTTACTGTCACTTGCAATGGAGGGACAAACCAGTTACTTAGTCTTTGTCTGGTAACTTCTATTACTAGCGCCAGTCTAAAAAAAGTCTTCATATGAATTGCAAAGAACATGTTGGATGTATGACTATGATACAATTAAGAATTGGCTAAAATGGTTAAACATTCCTATTTGGATTCAGTATTAAGCAGAAAATCATGTGAAGAAATTAGGGTTCTGGGGAGATTTCGTGCCACGAGATATATAGCATAGAAGATGCCCCTGCCACTTTTAAATAATTTCTTTGGCTGCATTATGGATACCATGTGGATACAATAAACGGCGACCGACAAAGACAAACAATATGTAAGCAACATTTCAACATGCAACTGCTTTGTTTTGCATTTTCTGACTTTAAACTGAATAAAAGACTATTTTCTTAGTCAAATATTTCATCATTGAAATTTTCTTATAAATAGCCCTATATTGTATTGTCTCATAAGCTAAGTGTGTCTACACACCCCTAGTAAAAATGCATAAATGGCCAGGCACCAGACGATTTAAAAGTGTGTGCGTATACTGGAGACAAAGTTTAATACCATTAAGTCAAATTATGAAGATTTGGCTCTACTGGATTGAAATACTTTCAGTGCAAGAGGGCTAAAATTTGTAAAAGATACCCTTATCTATCATGTTTTTTGAAAACAGGTGTAAAATCTTTGTATTTTTAGGGAAATGGAAAGAGGAGCGATGAGCTGATGTATTAAGTAAAAGCTTTCGAATAGTGTCTCTACTATAATTAAATCTGCACGTCACACATTTCAGTAAAGTCTGTAAAGTAGCACAGACACAGCAGTCCACAATGGAAATAAGTTATATGTTTAGTATTTTTATCCTGTGTCTAGAGCTGCAACGATTAGGCGATTAATTGTTAGTTAGTTGGTCGAAATAAAACTTAATCGACAACTTCTTTTTCTTTGTTAAGCAAAAATGTGACAAATTTGCTGGTTTTATCTTCTTAAATGTAAGGAGTTGCTGCTATTTTTTGTCATTTATGATAGTAAATGAAGAGTCTAGGTTTTGGACTGATGGTTGGACAAAAGTATCAATTTGAAGACGTCACTTTGGGCTCTGGAAAATTGTGATGAGCATTTTTCACAATGTCTTGACATTTTATAGACTAAACAAATAGTCCATTAATCGTGAAATAATCAGCAGATTAGTCGATAATGAAAATAATCGTTAGTTGCAGCCCTACATGTGTAAGGCTTTTTGGCATGCCACTTTGTGTATGTTACATGTAATGTGTAGTTTGTTTGAATTAATTTGGTATTATTACATCATTTTATTTCAATTTCATGTCTGCATATCCAGGACATAATAAAACCAAACCTCATCACAATATTTAGCAATATACAAAGCACATGAAGACACATGAACATTTTATACACATCAACACTCTATCTGGCCTTAAGGTGTACAGAAAGTTTTGTCTGCAAGTGAAGCATGAAGTTATGTGTTTGTTTCTAGTGTAGCTCTCAGATCTGTTGATGAAGTCCTTATCTGTGTTTTTGCTTGTGTGTGCCTGTCAAAGGAAGGAATGCACATATAACTACATATTAACGTGACTAGAGCCTCAGCACTACATGTATAATCGTCCGCTGTAACTCCCCAGGCTGACAGGGTGGTACCATTTAGCTTGAACTAAAGTTATTCCGGGCTAATTTTGGGTTTGATTCCAAAATTATTTTGGAAATACCAAGTTCTGCAGAAGACCTTGTGACGTGCCTGCTGCCGAATCCAGAGAAAACAATAGCATACGTACAGAGAACACACACACACACATTCACTTTCCCTAGGACATTGTGATTGTTTGTGAATACTCCCAGCTGAGCGTTGGCCTCCAGCTATTCATTAGACCCAACCAAGGTCAAAGGTCATTTGCTCGTTAAGTGAGGAGAGGCTCGTTAGAGAAAATGGCACCCATTTGTTGTTTCACTTGTACCGTGTTCTTTCTTTTTTTGCCCTTCTAAGGAAAGATAGATGATGCATCACTTTGAAATAACCTTTGAGGGAGGACCCACACTCCTTTCAATTATCAGCACTCCCCTGATGAGCTGCTGTGTGACATTGTACCCTGTGCATCACTTTCCTTTCCTCTTCTCACCCTTCCTGTCCTCCAGTTTCCTCTTTGTTCTAATCTGAGTTGTTTTTTTCCCCCACCTCTCTTCTTCTCTACCAGCAACGTTCCCCTGGCAAAGTGCTGTTTGACCTGATTTGTGTCCACCTCAACCTGGTAGAGGGAGACTACTTTGGACTGGAGTACCAGGACCAGCGCAAGATGACGGTGAGACACCCACACGCTGGCATACGGCCGTATTTACTACCTTATATTCTGTTATGCTTGTTTTTATTTCTGCAGACGTTCTAAAGGAAACGGGATAAAGACCGCACAACAAAAGTTAACTTAACTTACATTAACTATGATTATCTGCCATGAATTCAGGAAACAATACATTTGCACAAAAATACTATTAAAATATAATATATTTTCGCCTATATTATAGCTTCAGCCAGAAGGCGTTGTTTTCCTTTCTTCTTATTATTATTGTCTTTTTTTTTTTTTTTCACAATTCAAATTAAAAATAAAAACTGCTTTGAAAGTTCATCCAGATCTTCAGCTTGTTAAGTGCTCCAAGCAAGGTTGCTCTCTTTCCCACAAATTAACTTCAGTTTTAATCACACGGGTCAGTGTTCTTCACGCGCGGCGTCTCCTGCAACTCACTGTTTCGCCCATCTTCCATTCATCTTCACTCATGTGGATTTAAGCATCCACCTGGACTCAGTTGTTCCACCTATGTCATGAAAGAGCAGCTGGTTGTAATAATTTGCACACTTGGTTTACATGATCCAGGGGCGTGTTGGCAGTTTGCAGATGCCGCCCTGGCTGCTAACGTCTGCTGGTTGAATCTGCACTAGTGCGTGAAAAAAGGTAGTAATAAAGGAATGCCTAGCTGGAGAACAACAGTCAATCTATATCTCCTAGAGAAAGATGAATCTGTCAAAATGCACACGCAAATACCCACTGAAACACAGACACGCAATGTGCATTTCGGTGCCTCGGGCAGAAGAACAGTTGTTTTGAAGTGGATCAATAAAACAAATGACGTAATGCTGAAGAAATAATGACAGCTTTGTCAGCGCACACACACACACACACACACACACACACACACACACACACACACACACAGACACACACAGGATTAAACAGACACACACAGGATTAAACAGACCCGCACGCAAACACATGCAGCCATACATGAAGTAGATAACTGAATGTTTCTTATCCTGTTTATGGTAACTAGTGTGAATTTTATTGCTTTAAAAAGTAATCCAGATTCAAAGTATGTCATAAGCCATTTAGAAGCAGCATTTGAGTATGACTTACAATGTTGACATTATAACGCTGCCATTATGCTTTATAAGGAACTTGCATCGTGTTTCCAAGTGTGATTTATTATTTATTAAATAGCAGTGTCATCATTTGACCGAGTGTTAGTGTTGCTGAAAGCTAAAGAAAGCAGGGCTGAAAGGTTTTTTGTTTGTTTGTTTTTTTTACACAGGTTCATAGTTTCTGAATATTTTCTTGATAATTTCCAAGAACTTTCCTTAAAGAAGTACTTTATTTGGCATTTATTGTATGAAAATGGGGGCAGTTTTCTGTCTGCAGACTTTCGGTTAATTCATTAGTAATTGCTAGTGTAACCTAGAGAATCTTTAAGTTAGTGCACAGCAAGTCAGCTGTATGCAAATATGTGAAATTTGTCTACAGGCAAATTGCAATCCAGCAATTGCATTTCCAAAAACACATGACTGTTGTATTTATATAATGTTGCATTTAAATTAAACTTTTATTAAAAGTAATGTCCCTATGATTAGTACCAAACGACATAATTCTTTCTTGGAAACTTCCTAGGAAATTATTATGAAATTACTGACCTTTAACATAAAGCTTTACCCTAAATTGTACTGTTTGGATGATTTGACATATGTAGATAATATAGAGATTTTTACACTAACCAAAATAATCCAAAACGATTAATTTTAGTGTTAAACGCCATTGGCATTTTGAGTACAAATTAACTAAGTTACACAGTCACAGCTAAAATTGTATTTTGTCTGCATGTAGTGGTTGCCGCAATCCTCATGATATGCAGTATTCTACAATGAATATTTATCTAGCTGTTGACCTATTGACCAACGCTTTATAGAAGTACCACAGCTATTTTGACAGCAGAAGTTTAGGTGGAAATCTGCCAGTAATAGTCTTTGATGTACAATAATTATAGGAAAGCTCTACTCTGTCGTCTGTAGGTGTGGCTGGACCTGCTGAAGCCGACACTGAAACAGATCAGACGTAAGTAGCTCACAGATAAAGCAGATACCATTTTATTAGAATACATTGTATTATTGTAAAATTATTTTTGTTTTTTTTTTACATCTCTGCTTCTGTCTTCCTGTCTCCTCCTTAGTCTAACCATATCCCCTATTTTCCCTCCTTTCAGGGCCTAAAAACACCATCCTTCGCTTTGTGGTGAAGTTCTTCCCCCCTGACCACACGCAGCTCTTGGAGGAGCTGACTCGGTAGGTCTGCTCAACACAGAAACCACACCCATCTTTGGTACAAACCTTGTAGATTAAAATGTTGTTTTGCTGATGGTTTTCTGTCTGGCCAGAATGTTTCCAGTCCTTCAGGAGGATTTTCACAGCTGTGTCTGAACATAAAGCAAAGGCCGTGTTACACTGTGTTTGCATCTTGTTTTGTACTTTTTGTTGTCCTCGGTCAGCCGCTTACCATTTACATCCACATTGATATCCACATGCCATAACATACAAAACACTGTTTTCCTTTCTGGACCCGAACAAGAGCTTTTAGTGTGCCATCTGGGAACCAGGCTTATGAAAACATTTGTTGTTCCAGGAGAATGAATGCTCTGACCACTTTTGGATTTTGAGCCATAGTTTTAAAAACAAGCTGTTTTATTGTAAAAAGACTTTAGTTTATTACTCTGGAAGACATATTTTGATTTTGCAGAAATCAAAAACTTCTGGCTGTATCTGGAGAAGCATCTTTTAATAATGTCATACTTTATTGACACATACATGTTGCGAAATTCATCCTTTGCATTTAACCCATCCCTCAAGGTAGCAGTGGGCAGCGCCTGGGGACCAACTCCAGATCTTTACCTTGTCAATATCACTGACAGGAGAACCTAGCATGTTTTGATGGTGGGGGACACCGGAGCAAACCCACGCAGACACGGGGAGAACATGCACACTCCACACAGAAAGGCCGGGCAACCGGGGTTTGAACCCGCAACCTTCTTGCTGTGAGGTCACAGGGCTATCCACTGAACCATCGTGCCCTGTTAGCGTTTAAAGATTAGACTATATAGGAGAAACGTTCATGTTCCCACCTATCCCCCCAGTCCTTTTCAACTACTTGTTTAGAAAGTGTAAATTATCAGCCCCCATCTTGTCTGCCTTTTTGTTTTGTCTGACAGAGCCTGTCAGAGCAGACTGCACTGTCTGTGCTTAGCTAAGCTTGTTTCAGCTACAGTACAGCGCCGTTTCACGTCACATGAAGAAAATATTTGACCTTCCACCTTTTCCCATGATGCTGTGGCTTCCTGCCCAGCTGGATTTACTTGAGAGCAAGACCCAGCAGGAAGTGAGCATGTTGTCTCTCATGTGTGAATGAATCCTTAAGATTGTCATGAAATCAAACCCCATTTGTTATGCAATTTGCAGTCAAGCGGTAGCCTTCAGAGTATTTACATCATGTACATTAATTCCTCATATAGTAGTTTCCATTGTTCGTGGCGGTGTCCAAGATTCCTGCACCGGAATTAAATTGTGTTAACAAGTCTCTGTAAGTTAAATGTTAGACTTTTTAATATCACATAGAATGCAGTTTAATATCTGTTTCATGATCATACCTTCCAAAGTATAATGTGTGAGTAATAAGTATGATGGAAACCAGTAGGGACTGTTGATTTGGCATAGAAGTATTTATTTTATCACTTTTTTTAGTACTTCCCAGCAGTAATAACAATAAATCATAATGATATAATTAATTAAATGAATGCAACCTGGACTCTGGTGTCAAACAGTGGATTAACCAATTCCAAATCGTTAATTCATGCAAGTTTTTGCTATTATCAACACTTTTCCATTATGAGTCGATGAACTTCCTAGTAGTAGCAGTAGTGACAGTGTTTGCTACAGGTCTGACAGTGCTGACTGACAAACCACAAAAAAAGATCAAACGGCACAATCCCACCTTTAGTTTTTAGGTGTTTAACACCTCCCACCAGCCTGCAATCAGATACAAAAACATTTACTTAACAGTTCAGATAATTTTACATCCTACTGCAGGCAAGTGAACTTGTTCTAAATAAAATTTAAGTCTTTAAAATACCTTAACCTTTTTTGAGGAAACTGAATTCAGTGTTTTTTAATGATCATTTCTGTCTACTGTTCACTTTGCTACAGCTGCATCAGAGCTGTATTAAGTTACGACTATAGCTAAACTACCAATTTCCAACTGAAAGCATTCAACAAAACACAAGGTGGATTTTTATTGTCAACATGTCACAGTAAATGCAATGATTGAGGTTTGAACCATGTAATCAAACCATGGTTGCAATAACTCTTGACCGTCTTCATGAAAAACAATGTGAGTTTGTTTGGCTGCACTGTAAACACTGTATTTCTGACAAAGAAGCTGCGTAGCCAGTGTTTGCCGCAGTGTTAAACCGCCCACCAGTAACCATGATTGTGCCAAATCAACCAGGACTGAAAGGTCACGGATTATAGTTTTAATTTCACAAGAGAATATCGTCACCAGTTAGGAACGCTTTACATATTTTCCGTTGATGACGTTCGGCCCCTCAGCTGGCCAGTTTATTCCACTGAGCTCAGATCATCTTGGAGATCGTCTTGGAGAGTGCCAGCCGCCTCCAGCATTAAACAGGAAGCGGGCACGCAGCCTTTTTTCCTTTGTTTGGCTCTCACAGCATTTCACTGTGGTCAGTGTTTTCTTTGATGGGTAACATAGGCACAGACGAACCAAATATGTAGACGGACGGATTTCTTTGAAGACGTATTAGGCTGATATTAGCCTTTTAATAAAAACGGGACACTGGCCAATCAGTGCTTGAGGTGAGGTCTAACATAGTTGAACAGATAGCGGTTTTAGAGGCTAACCATTGTAATTTATTGTTGTGTGAGGTTTTTCTTACACATTACATTGCACAAAATGGCACTCTAAACTTTCTATAACAGATATCTTTCAAGAGTTTCAACTGGCATGTTGTATTTCACTCTAAATAGGTGCAGCGTTCCTAAATAGTTGAATGACTCCAGGCTAAAATAAAAAGATATAAATACTCACCAAAGCCTCATTAACTTTATTAGAGAGGTAATCATGCAGTTAAAAAAAGGTTGGATTGGATATCACATAAAAAGTTGCTTTGGACCATTGATCTCACTCACTCGTACACACATGGGTGCACTTTGAATGTGCTTTCCTCTGGCAGCCTGTCCACTGTTTCTCCTGAGAGCTGGGGAATCAGCCAATCTCTGCGTTTAAAAACACTCATGTGGGGAAAAATCTGAATTAATTCTCCTGAATTTTGCCCACGTTACTGACTGATTGTGTTTGCTATCACATTGGCTTAATTGTCACCCTGGAATATGTAACAAATCCTTAAAAAAATACATTTGTGAGTAAAATAATAGCAGACAGAAATTGGGCAGATCATGTTATAAGTAGCTGACAGTATAATGATTAACAGAAAAGGGCATTTTCTCAATTGGGGATCGGTTTTAGGTTAGTAGATGCAACGCATCAGCAGTGTGTGTTTGAGTGTGTAATAAACTGTTTGATGGTAATGGAATCGCTTCTAACAGTTACGTTTAGATGGTGTGCATTGACCTCATAATGTTGCTTTCCCTTTTTCTCCCTCCCACACTCTCTTCTATTTCTGCCTGTGATGTGTGTTTTATTTATTATTATTTGCTTTCCTTTCTCTAGATATCTGTTTGCCCTGCAGATTAAACGCGACCTGGCCTGCGGTCGTCTTATCTGCAACGACACCAGCGCCGCTCTCATGGTCTCGCACATCATCCAGTGTAAGTCCAACACACACATACACACAGACAAGTGCTGTGTGGTAGGAGTTGAAAATTAAATAAAATCAGCTTAATAAAACTCATAGCATAGTGAAGGAGCCAATTCTAAGTTGTTGAGGTGTTTCTTTTGGTATAGAAAACCAGCCACAATCAGACCAGCCATGCCTCTCTTTATTTTCCTCTATGCCAGCTGGATGGATAGGCAGCAGAATACGCTCTCTAATAACGTTGAAGGTAGAGATGTGAAGAATAAAATTTGTTAGGCAATCCACTGTGAGAAGAGGGTTTGAGTGTCCCTCACACTAGTGACGGTCATTCATTTAAGGCTCCAATGCCAAAATAAGTTTTAAGATCATCCGAAACAAATGTTATGCTGTAACTGCTCGCATTACAACAAGCATTAAACGTCCTGTCGCGTCTAAATAAACATGTATGTGAAGGACATGTGTCTAAATAACAAAAGCTTGATAAAGCCAACAATTTTTAGTTCCCAAGTCTGAAAAGGGCTTTAGTCTCATTGTGAGAGACCCATACATCAGCAAATACACAAACACGACAGATAATCTCTTTGGGGGTATTTCAGCAGCATTTACAGTACTATGGTGTGTGTGTCACTAGTTTAATTCAAAACAAAGCTGTCTTAATATTTAACACTAAAGAGGAAGGCAATCTCACAAGTTAGGATCTTTTGTTGTGATACAGCACACTCCAGCGGGGCAGATGCTTGCCTGCATGAGACCATGATCCCGGCTCACACTGGTGAAGGACTCCCTCCTGTCACTCTTTCTGTATTCCACTGTCTTGTCAGTTACATAAAGCGTCAGTATTCCCCTATATTTAGAACCAGTGACATTGTGTGGGACACCTGCTCGCCAGGCTACCCGTGTCCACCGCATCGATCGTTGCTATTAAGCATGTGGAGGATGTAGGATTTATAGATTCAATTCAGTCCTGCAGACAGCGGCGGACTGCGGCACAGCATGCTAAAGAATATGACTTGGTTGCCGTGGTAACCGCCAGTGCCATGCCTGCATTGTGCACCTGCGGGTGGTTACACTACGAGGGTTTATTGTTGCTGGTACTGGACAGATGGAGACGCACGCATTACCACACTTGATCTGATCTACAGCAGAAAAGGCTGGGATGGCGTATAAATGAGATTAACTAGAATAGAGATCACAGCAGCTAAACAATGTTTATTTTCTTTTTTGCTTGCATTCCTGCTGTCTATGTCTTTCCTTAACACTCTGTTCTTTATTTAACCTGCTCTTAACCTTATCTGTCACCTACTCCCCCGTCCCACCCCTGTTTCACTCTCCATCTTCACTCCAAATAAACACTGAATTCCCACTGCCCTCTCCTTCTCCCACTCCATCAGCCGAGATAGGAGACTTCGACGAGACCCAGAGCTGGCAGCATCTCCTCCACAATAAGTACCTGCCCGACCAGGACGCCATCAGAGACAAGATCACTGACTGCCACCGCAAGCATGTGTGAGTTATCACATGCCTGCCCAAACACGCATATACTGTATGTACAGTCTCACAGGGACACACAGTCAGTTTTTAGATGATTAAAGGAGGGCATTTTCACTCTACATGGTGGTAAATGTCAAATGGATCTGTATATAAAACATTCAGTGTCTACTGTATAAAGTAATATGGGCTGCCTTAAGTTTATAAAATGTCCGTTAATAGTGAAAAATGACGGGTGGGTAGTAACTTGTAAAGAGGGGTAACTTTTCACGTTCCTTTTACTTTTGAGAATTTTATTGGTACCGTAATCTGCTGTTAACATTTGCCATTCATACATTCATTAGAACTAGTCTTTTATTTACTACAATACGATATATGATAAGATACGATATGCTTTATTGTCCCTATGGGGAAATTTGTTTTTAGCTCAGTGGTGCTGCATATATTACAAAAAATTTATAGTTTACACTGAACAGACAAACAGACAGCTGAAAAACATTTTACCAAGATTGCTAATGTTGTATATGGCAACATATTGCACAAACCCTCTTTTGCATTCCTAACAGTATTACACGGCAAGGTAGCAGTATATTGCACGTAGACTATTTTAAGTCTGTAACAGAATCTTTTAGAGAAGGCTGATGGAACATGGCACAAATAATTTTGTTTTTAAATGATTGAGTCTACATTTGAGGTCTCTGTATCTTCTGCTACAGTGCCTTGCGAAAGTATTCGGCCCCCTTGAACTTTTCGACCTTTTGCCACATTGCAGGCTTCAAACATAAAGATATAAAACTGTAATTTTTTTGCGAAGAACCAACACCAAGTGGGACACAATCATGAAGTGGAACGAAATTTATTGGATATTTCAAACTTTTTTAACAAATAAAAAACAAAAATTGGGCGTGCAAAATTATTCAGCCCCCTTAAGTTAATACTTTGTAGCACCACCTTTTGCTGCGATTACAGCTGTAAGTCGCTTGGGGTACGTCTCTCTCAGTTTTGCACATCGAGAGACTGAAATTTTTGCCCATTCCTCCTTGCAAAACAGCTCGGGCTCAGTGAGGTTGGATGGAGAGCGTTTGTGAACAGCAGTTCTCAGTTCTTTCCACAGATTCTCGATTGGATTCAGGTCTGGACTTTGACTTGGCCATTCTAACACCTGGATATGTTTATTTGTGAACCATTCTAGTGTAGATTTTGCTTTATGTTTTGGATCATTGTCTTGTTGGAAGACAAATCTCCGTCCCAGTCTCAGGTCTTTCGCAGACTCCATCAGGTTTTCTTCCAGAATGGTCCTGTATTTGGCTCCATCCATCTTCCCATCAATTTTAACCATCTTCCCTGTCCCTGCTGAAGAAAAGCAGGCCCAAACCATGATGCTGCCACCACCGTGTTTGACAGTGGGGATGGTGTGTTCAGGGTGATGAGCTGTGTTGCCTTTACGCCAAACATAACGTTTTGCATTGTTGCCAAAAAGTTCGATTTTGGTTTCATCTGACCAGAGCACCTTCTTCCACATGTTTGGTGTGTCTCCCAGGTGGCTTGTGGCAAACTTTAAACGAGACTTTTTATGGATATCTTTAAGAAATGGCTTTCTTCTTGCCACTCTTCCATAAAGGCCAGATTTGTGCAGTATACGACTGATTGTTGTCCTATGACAGAGTCTCCCACCTCAGCTGATCTCTGCAGTTCATCCAGAGTGATCATGGGCCTCTTGGCTGCATCTCTGATCAGTCTTCTCCTTGTATGAGCTGAAAGTTTAGAGGGACGGCCGGGTCTTCGTAGATTTGCAGTGGTCTGATACTCCTTCCATTTCAATATTATCGCTTGCACAGTGCTCCTTGGGATGTTTAAAGCTTGGGAAATCTTTTTGTATCCAAATCCGGCTTTAAACTTCTCCACAACAGTATCTCGGACCTGCCTGGTGTGTTCCTTGTTCTTCATGATGCTCTCTGCGCTTTAAACGGACCTCTGAGACTATCACAGAGCAGGTGCATTTATATGGAGACTTGATTTCACACAGGTGGATTCTATTTATCATCATTAGTCATTTAGGTCAACATTGGATCATTCAGAGATCCTCACTAAACTTCTGGAGAGAGTTTGCTGCACTGAAAGTAAAGGGGCTGAATAATTTTGCACGCCCAGTTTTTCAGTTTTTTATTTGTTAAAAAGGTTTGAAATATCCAATAAATTTCGTTCCACTTCATGATTGTGTCCCACTTGTTGTTGATTCTTCACAAAAAATTACAGTTTATGTTTGAAGCCTGAAATGTGGCAAAAGGTCGAAAAGTTCAAGGGGGCCGGATACTTTCGCAAGGCACTGTATCTTCCGATGTTTTCATGGCAGTCTTTGAATTGAGACAGTTTGGATTTAGATTGTACAGATTTATTTCCATACCATGCCTGTATTTCTATGTATGTATTAATTTTATGCATTTTGCTACATTAACCAAAGTGAAATGTCACCCAAGATGTGTGCGGTAAAACATCATTCTAGTGTTAGACTCTGCGCAAATGTCTTTCTGCACAGTGAAGCTCAAGCATCCAAGTAAAGGAACAAAAAAGCAACATTTACAGGGGTCACTAGAAATAGCTGGTCAAAATAATCTTTGCTTGGAAGACAATACGGAGCCGACCTTTAGTCTGACTCGGGATCAGTTTCTGGGTGGCATTACGCTCGAAGGTGTCAGGATGAAATAGTTTTTCACATTAACACACACGCGCACAACACACACACTTACCACAGCAAGTCTCACACACACATATTTATCTATTTATTCAAATGTGCGCTCACAAACACACCCATTACTCAACTACACCCAATCCCGTAAGCCCCTCTCCTGCAGAGATGTCTATCTCTTTAACCATAACACACACACACACACACACACACATAATCTCTCCCCTGCAGAGATGGCTCTCTGCAAACATACCTCTTACCCCCCCACCCCGGGGCCACACACACTTCTCTTATAATTTACATTATAGCTGTGCTTCCCCCACCACTATTTTGCAAATACTTAACAAATGCATCTCCTTGTTTTCAGGAGATGTAAATTCCCCTGAAAGCCTTACCTGACCACAGATAAGAGCTGAAAAAAACCACAGCAGAGACTTGTTGATTACTTGTCACGGTCACGCCGTGCACCACATACCCATTCTCTCTCTCTCTGTGGGCTCCGGCTCTCCCCTCCCCCTCCACTCCAATCCTTCACCCTGCCCTAGCTGACGCAGGAAGGAAGTGGCTAATTCAGCAGCTCATACAGGAAACAGGAAGCTATTTTCAGATTTGAGAGGAAACAAACTTCTTTTCTGCCCAGCAGTGGATACCGCCATCTGATCCTGTGGTGTTATTTTAAGACTTTAAGATGTTTGTTTTTACCGTTTACTATAAATCTGGACATGTAAAACCTGGTATGTACAGCACAAACAATAATACATGGCCACTTAGTTAAGGATATTCCTATATGTTGACAAATCATTTAGGAAAGGTTCTTAAGGTTGTTGCCAACGTATCAGTCGCTGGTGCCCACCTATATATGCAGAGACACTTTATCTACAAGAGAAAAAGAAGAAATTAAATATATTTGTGTCTTGCTTCGGCTTTAGAAAGAGTTGGCTGAGCTCGTGTTTGATTGACATGTTAAGTAATCGATAACTGATTGACTGCTCTCCCCCACAGAGGGCAGACTCCTGCTGAGTCTGACTACCAGCTGCTGGAAATCGCTCGGCGGCTGGAGATGTACGGTGTTCGTCTGCACCCAGCCAAGGACCGAGAGGGTACTAAGCTCAGTCTGGCTGTGGCGCACACTGGGGTTCTGGTTTTCCAGGTAAAACCATAAATATCAGATTCAAAGACCTTCATCAAATCTTTCTTTTTTTTGTCTCACTGAAATGTGAGTTGTTCCAGAGCCAAGTAGGAGGCTGCATATCTTGGTCTTAGGTATGAGCTGCAAATTTCAAAAAACGTTTTCTGAAAAGGCCTAATATTCTGTAGAGAACTTTTTGTGGTGTGCTACTTTTCCAGTGTCACCACTATTAACCTACTAATCTTTGTCTGCTCAAATCATAGTGAAGATATTCACACTGATAACTCGGCAGCCTCTTAGCTAGGGAAGAAGAATGTACATGGTTGCCTGTGCTTAGTTTGTTATTAATTCAAAAAGGGATAAGATGTAGAGGGAACTAGAAAGTATGTATTTTATGTATCTTGGATCAAATAATACACATTTTGTGTGCATGGAGAATGTATTATTGTATGCTTAGAAGTTGTCGAATTGAAAATGCCAGCAAGAGTCGAACTGTAACAGTATATTTTGGGAAAAAGTAAATACATTTTCCATTTGAAGTTCATTCTCCAGTGTGTAGCAATTGATCTTTTCTCTTATGATTCATTTTGCATGAATATTAATCAGAATCTCATAATGTCTCCTCTTTTATTCAGGGGTACACAAAAATTAACGCCTTCAACTGGTCCAAGGTTCGCAAGCTCAGCTTCAAACGCAAACGGTTTCTAATTAAGCTGAGAGCAGACCCCACTGTAAGTCCATTTAACGCTTCCTGTCTCCTTTCCTTTCCCTTATGTTTTGCCTTTTTTCTCATTCTTCTATTTTGTTTCCCTTTACTTCACTTCTCTCTTTCTCTTATCCATCTTGCATCTGTTTTATTATTTTTTTTTTACCTCCACCCATTCTTATATCTGCCTCTGCGTCTTCCAGCAGAATGCCCACCACGACACGCTGGAGTTTTCCATGGCCAGCAGGGATTGCTGTAAGATCTTCTGGAAAATCTGTGTAGAGTATCACGCCTTCTTCAGGCTCTTCGAGGAGCCCAAGCCCAAACCCAAGCCCATCCTCTTCACCAGAGGATCCTCATTCCGGTTCAGGTATGGAGAGGGCAGAAAGGGAAGGATAGGAAACTACTATGCTTGCATTTGTCTTTAATTTGTTTTTCATCACCTGTTTTTCTAAACTCTCTGTACCTGCAGTGGACGCACCCAGAAGCAGATCATTGATTATGTGAAAGACTCTGAGCTCAAGAAAGTTCCATTTGAAAGGTGACGCTCCCTCCTTTGTTTAGATTAGTCCAACAACAGGAACAACATTCATTGTGAGAATCCCATTGAAACCAATCCACAGCAGACACTGTTGTAGAAAAGATAGAAACCAGCAATCAGCTTTCTGTTTTCCAAATTATTTACACATGGTTTGACCTCATTGGTCCGCTCTTCTCTTTTCAGGAAGCACAGTAAGATTCTGTCCAGTAGCAGCATGTCCCCTCAGTTGTCTTCCTTCAGATCGCAAGTGCCAAAAGAGGTGATGCACACCTGACACTGACCTTTTATTCACCTTGTAACTTGTACACATTTACAAACGATTTATGTAGGTCTTTATCCCTTCTCTGTGTTTAAATCTGGAGCTGCTACAAAGCTGTTTTTGTCCTGAGCAGCTCCGGGGAGTGAGTGTGTGTGAATGTGTGCTTTCTTCAGTCAGTTCCCATAAACAACAATTTATTCAAAGTCAGTAACTCAATTCAAGGAGCCCAGTTAAATAAGAGTTTAAAAAGCTTTTCCCTTTAACTCTCTCCAATCACTCCTCTTTCTCTCTGTCCTCTTGTCTTTTTCTTCTATTTTCCTCATTTGCAGAACGCCATGTGTGTCCAGTTAGCGGACCAGCCTGACTCAGGCAGACTGGATGAGTCTAATGGTTCAAAGGAGCTACCAGCAGCCACATCCTCCACCAACGGCTTTCACGGTATACCTGCTGTGCCTGGCTCAGACCCGACTCAGTCCCGACAGAACCACCACGGCATCGAATCTGCGCTGGACCCGCATTTCCTCAACCCAGGTCCATCCTGCAGGGCAAACAAAGGCAGCAGCTCCTCTATTCCTTACATAGACTGCAGCGACATAGACAGTGAATGTGATGTGACAAAGAACAACAGGGCCCCCAGGGGCCACAGCAATGCAAATGACAGCAATGCAGATGAGCCTTGTGTGTATAATAATAAGCAAGGGGGTAGCAGTCGCAAGGGGGGGCAAGCTGGGAGTCTGTTTGGGGATGTGAATGGGTTCTATCACACCAATCACCAGGGGCTGATGCAGCAGCATCAACAGCAGGGTATTACAGTGCAGCAACAGCGGCAGCAGCAGCAAGGTATGCTGGGTAACAGAAGCGCTGTAGATCACTCTCCAGTGTCGAACAAGTTCATTGTCAGTCACGAGCTAACAGATGAAGAGATTTTGCCCAATGGCGGTTCATTTCATGGCCGCCTCCCGCTCCACAGCACGTTGCTGGATGAAATCCTTCAGGGTCGAGACAAGCGAGGTGCAGCAGCAGGGCGACCGTTAGGAACCGGGACTCGTAGTCAGTGCTCCAGCCCGGTGATCAGCAGCTTCCACCACCGCACAAACTCTCTCAGTCACGCCGAGATGACAAATGGGCACGGGCAGCCGCGCTCAGCCACACGTTGGGATGACGGAGGGCATTATTTCACTAAGCGTCCGGGAGTATTCCCAGTGCAAGCTCCAGCTGTCCCGCCGTCACCCCACCCACCAAACCACTACGGTAGCTACTCCCCGATCACGTCAAACCGCACCCCGCCACTTTTTGCCAAACCGTATAACAACAACATGAGGAACCGCTCTGATACTGATCCATTCATTCTCAGCCAGCTGACATCCACCCCTGTACACCAGCAAGACCCTCATCGCCCGGGGTTGCACGCCCAAGCACCGTGTTCTGCCCCGGTGGAGCGGAGAATGATAATAACTAACGGTAATCACGCGGGGAACTTCGTGGTTCCAGGTCAGGCGAGGTCCAACACAGTGCAGCGGTTGTTCAGCCGTCAGGGAAAGCCCGGTAACAACCCGGCCCGTAACAACCACGGCAACCTAAACCAGCCAGTCCAAATGATCGACGGATCTACCAGCAGCGGCACTGACACCAGCGACACAGAGTCGGACACCGGCAGCAGCGCGTACAGCCAACCGTTAATGTACGGCAACCCTGCAGCCATCAGTTCTATGAATTCGGTGAACTCGAACGGCGTGAACTCGTCCCCGCTGCCCCATAGCAAGTTCTCCTTTGGGAGTCTGCAGCTGGAGGAGGGGGAGGATGGTGAGGGAGAGGAGGAGGAAGGGTGTTACCACTTTAACGAGGAAGATATAGGGGGTCGGGTTTTCAGCTGTTGAATGGTAAAGAGATGCGAATATTTCAGCCTCACATTCGGCATTATAATGCACATTAAATATAATTCTGTTCAGTCATCTCACTTTAGTAGATTACAGACTAGTAAAGAACTACTGTGTAAAGCTGGAGAACTGTTATCACCCAGCTACATTAATAGAAGTACACAACTGTGAATTGCAATACTATAGATGTAGTCCACCTGTTTACACTAGATAAGCTGTGATACACCTTATATAACACACATTTTGCTCAAAAGTTCTCACATATTTTTTATATATTTTTAAATAGGTTTTTAAACTGTGAATAGAAACGCCTGCCCTAATAACGGTAATGCGTTTTCCAAATCCCTATTTTATTTGCATTGAATTTGTTTTGCAAACCTTTAGGCAAACTGCTGACTTTACTCTACTAAAAACTTTGGCTGGCTAATTGTCAACAGAGAGTCAATCCTAAAAGCCTGGAGGCATTTCTGCCAGCTCTCTGTGAAATGTTTAAGAATCAGCATCACTAATGTTTCAAGATAAATCTTCCTTACAATGTGCCATAGCTGTGTATTAAGTGTACATGTATGAGCAGATGGATATTACAGATTAATGTTGAGAAGTTAGAAATCTAAAGGAATCACTTCATGTGTAGAATTGTATTTTTCTGGGGAGGAAGATTCTTCCTAATTTTTCTTCAGAAATCATTTGATAGCATTGATATTATTCATAATAGTATAATTGCTCCTCTTCTGTTTAGGAGGCATTAGAATTCTGCTGATTGTAGCTGGCTTTTGTAAAAAAAAAAAAAAAAAAATGTTGTTAAGATATTAAGGTTTTGAAGTAAGAGATAAATCAATGTTTAGGTGGCACTGATTTGGGTGGCTTAAAGCTTTTGAGTTGACCAGCTGCCTTTCTTGGTCATTGTAATGTTTCCGCATTTGTTGTGTCCTAATGTAGCATTTTCTCTAAATCAAACTTTTATAAATATTTAACTGTTGTCTCGTGCAATAGAAATGCTTTAAGACAATAGCTGGAGTTAACTAAGGGATTTCAATGGGAAGTAATTGGAGGTTTTAAAGGGAAAACTGTTTTCTGTCAGATGTTATATACAGTTTGTGGTTGTTTGGACTGTGGTAAACCACTAGGATAACGCAGGTGGTTGAATTGAGAGATATTTCCCTTTAATTGTACAGTATATTCAAATGGTTTTAGTAGAGATATTGGATTGTACTTAGAGTAATAGACTTGACTTGGTAGAAGTATGTGTTAAATGTGTAAGCTATTTGCAGGAGGAGGAATGCTGTAGCGAATGGCCGGTCTGCCTTTCTCATTCAGTTTTGGCCGAGCTGAAGTCCTTTCCTTTGGAGCACTTTTTTATGCTTTCCTTCGGTTTCTGTCGTGGGCAACTTGCACTGTAATTTGGATGTTGGTGGTAGAGACTTTTTGTAGTGATTCTCTTTTGTATTTAGAATTAGCGCAGGGATAGATTTGCATTAATTAAAATGTTACAGAGAGTATGAACATGATTTTAACCTTTTTATATCTGTATTTTTGATAACTGAAGCTCCGTGTGTAAATTTCTACTGAAGTTGCATTATATGCGCTTATCCTACTTCTGTTGGTTGGTCATGGGCTTTTTTTCAGTCTTTATTTCTATCGTTCTTTTTTCTATCTTTCACACTTGCGCACACAATAAGCAATAATCAAACACGCCAACTATCGTCCTTAAACCTGTGACCACCCATAGCTGTCTGCTTTGCTCAGCTTGGCCCCTGGCATGCACTACGACCACACACAAAAATGTATCTCACTGTTATCTTTCACTTTCTTTTGATGCAGTTCTTTCTTTTGTTACAATGCTGTTTTTATTGAAGGTATGCTGGCCCTCCATCCCCATCACTGTCATTTGCTGGCTGTCTGCTTTCTACAGGCTTTTTGTTGTTTTTACTGCAACAGTGCATTGGGATAAACTTCAGTCAATTAAGTTCATAAGAGAAAACAGGTGTGCTTCTCCTACACTGGAGTTCAGTTTGGCACTCTGCCTAAAAAAACAGTCTATATATGTCTATGTCAATGTCTATATATTTTTCCCAAAACAAATAAAATCCAGCCTTTATTTGTCCAATACTTTGGTTTATGGCTAAATACCAACAAAGCTAACAACACTCCCATTAGCCTCAGCTATGCTTTGTGTTTAGCGCATAAATAGCAAATGTTAGCATGCTATCGCGCTAAACTATGATTGTGAACATTTATAAAAACCATTAAACATCTCCAATGTTAGCATTGTCACGTTGAGCATGTTAGCATGCTGACGTTAGCATTTAGCTTGAATGCAGGCATTTCAGTGAGTTGAGGGGAATAATTTTTTCTGAACCTACCTACTAACAGTCCAAATTGTATTTTTAATTTGCATGCATACTTTTCTGAATTTGGATCTGCGTTGGTTCTAAAGCTGCTTATGAATAATTGAGTGCATGAAAACACCAATTTAAACTGTACATCATTAGAATTGGCACAAAATTTCAGGAAAAGCTATTTCAGAGTTACCTTCTTAGCCACCTTTCCATGAATACACTATTACTCAGGGAGCATTAGTGCTCCAGAAAACAGTGATGTTAGGGGTTCAATCTACAAACTTAACTTGGAATAAATGTCTTTCACAAGAGGCTTCATCCTGAATCAAATATTCATGCTTCATACTTTGTAAATGCACTGTTTTTACGCATGTCTTCTGTTAGCGAGGAGGGGGAAAAAATGCTGTTTTCTCACCATTTCCTTTTCTTTACTCTGAATGCATGTTAACCAGGCAAGCAAGATCCCTGCTTTTCTGTCAGTCTGCTCTGTTTTTGCTCACTTTGTCACTCTGTGTTTCTGTCACGGGCCTGTAAATGGTTTCAAATGTTTGAGAGGCATAACATGCAGTTTAACACAAACTTAACAACTCTAGAAATGTGTTGGTTTCTCCGCTTTCAGACACAAACTTCTCTTCTCATGGGATATTAGAGTTTTCATGCCTTTTTTATTACTACACCGTTGTGTGTAATTAACTGCACTGTATTTTTCAAATATTTAGAAACCATTTGTATATTTGCCCCAGGTTTCCTCACTGCGCACAAGGACGAAACAGGGCTGACTCAACTCCAATGCTCTATTAACAGAGAGTGAGAAGGTGAAAGTAGACAGACATAAGTAAAGTTAAGCTTAATGCAAATGTAAGTGCAATAAAAAAGAAGATATCTTTGAGGTACGTGGCGTTTTATTTTGTAAGGTGTGAAAGTCCAAGAACTGTCAAAAGATGAACATACACATGTGAATACTGGAGTTGAGTCCTCCTTGTCTTCCCTTTCACTGCTTGTCACCAAACAGCACTTGCAGAAAGTTACTTCCATTGAGGCTTTTTGTCATTTCAATGTTCTGTACAACAGACTGATAGATTGTGATTTTGTATTCATATTGTCATTTGTATGTTAATGGAGTTAATCAAAGCCAAATTTGCTAGATTTACTCTAAAATGAAAAGTAAAATGATTGTAGTTTCTTCTGCAGTGTACACACTGATGACGTGATTGTATTTGACTGATGCTTTGAGTAGTTCAACATTTAGGGCAATGCACTTATTTGATTTGTTGCCAAGAGATACGTGAGAAGATCGATACCACTTTTATATTTGTACAGTAAATATGAAGCTATTGCCAGCTGCCATTAGCTTAGTTTAGCACAAAGACTGGAAACAGGCAAGTATATCCAGCTGCAGCCCACAGACCTGACGGAAGTTGAACTTCCAAATATATGGTTTGTCCCAGAAGACACCGCGCAAAAAACGTTGATCGTTAATCTCAGCTCACGTACAGTATAGATCCTAATGCAAACCGTTTTATTCTTTAGAGGCCAACAACAGCTGCAGCTGGACCCTTCTCGAAACGGGTGGAAACAGCTAGCCTGGCTCTGACCGAAGGCGACAAAATCCAACTATTGGCACCATAAAAGCTCACAAATGAACACGTTTCATTGGAGTATTACGACTTTTGTTACATTTTGGTAACTTTTGTTGCTGTTTTCCACTGTTGCTAGTCTTTATGCTAAGATAAGCTAACCTGCTTTGTATACGCCGGGCTGACATGAGAATTGTATCAATCGTTTACCTCTTGGCAAAGGACCAAACAAGCATATTTCTCTAAATATCAAACCATTTTCTTTAATTTAGGTTATTAAAATCATAAACGGTGGCATTTTAGAATCACATCTGTGCTTCTCTTCCTGTTTACATAACACACTTTTTACTCACTGACTTCTTTTGATAGACTAAACTTGCAGTCTGGCTATTCTTCCAATTCTGTGATTTGAAGATTGGTGGCAGTTTTAGTTTGCATGTCCCGCATTTACTTCATGGTGCATACCAAGACTGTAGTCCACAGTGTTTGATACAAACTGAACATGCAAAGGTTAAACTGCTGACAATCCAGCACTGAAAGGATCATTTTCCTTAACGCACATTGACTATATGGCCTAAAGACACACTGACTCACTGGTTTTCTTTGTCACTCTTGTAACACTTTGTATTTCTGCACACCTGTCCTTCTTTATTTTCATCACACACACCAACTGGATGTGTTTCTTGTGACTTTTTTGAGGTTGTACTCTACCTTCATTTGTCCTTTTAACACTGTAACTGATTTTGTGCACTAGTGTCAATAAAAACCGACCCTATATGTTTGAAGAAAAGGGACTCCAGAATTTTCTGTAGAGGGAACCAATCTCCAACTACCCCCCCATACCCTCAGCCTGCTTGACTTGTGACCCCCCCATCCCCCCCGGCCCGCCCACCTGTGTCTTGTGTTGTGTTATAGTAGCTAGGCTGAGAGTAGAGGTTGTCCGTTTTGTTCAGCATGTGCACACATGATTTGACCCGTTTCTGTTTGTGTTTCATGTTTCCTAGCTCGTTGTTTCACCTGTGTTTGTTGTTGTACTAGTTTTTGGTTTTTTTTCTAAATGGTGGGAAGTTCTTTTATAGCACCCGTCACAGATCTGCACTCAGTGGTTGCCATGGTTTTACCCATGATCCAGTTTGGTGTAGAACAGTGGACTCTTTGGAAACTTTGCACCTGGGCAAGTATACAGTCACAATTTAGTACTATGTAGTAAACCCATGTAGTGACCCTAGCTGTAGTGAAAAGTAGGTTTAACTTTTTAGTCTTCTGTCCGGATGATGAAATTTTCCAGAAAGTTGCCAGAAGTAAATCAACTACAGTCAGACCAGACTCCTATTAAAAATATATAATTTTAGGTATTACCTAGCAAGACTATTGCATATCTGTAGAAGATCATATCTATAGTGCATTTTAAGGGAAATGGGAACATATTCATCTATATTGCCTTAATGCAACAATAATACTTTTTTAACTAGAGCTGCATTAATCATTCAGTCCATTAACAGAAAATTAATCTTCCAACTATTTTGATAATCGGTTAATCATGTTTTGGGCAAAAATATCAACCACTTTCTGGTTACAGCTTCTCAAATGTGATACGTGAACGAAAACTAAAATATATTTCTGTTTTCGACCATTGATCAGACAAAACAAAACCTTTAAAGACATCGCCTTGGATTCTGGGAAACGAAAAGTGAAATGATAAATGAATTAACTAAGACAATAATTGGCAGATTAAGTGGTAATGAAAGTACTTGTTAAAATATCCCTTGCTTACATTGCATTACGAAGACTATAGATGTATCTTATAACCTTATTTATTGCAACTTGACAGCTTTTTAGTATGCACAGCTGGATTATTTGTCTTTCTACTTTCTCTTATAATGCACAGATATGGCCTTTTATTAAGTATTGCAAATAAACTGATAATCCATAGCTCCATACTAACATCTACTTAAAAATATTGTTTCCCTTCCTGTTTCTAGGTTTTGTAACAATGTTTTAGATCATACAAATTGAGAAATAGAGTAGATTTAGCATTTTTGTTTTGTTTTTGTTCTCTTTAAGATTGATTGTGTGGCATTGTATAACCTTGAAATTCATCACCACACAGGTTGGTTACATTGGTTAATTTGCGTCAGGAATATTAGGGAATATGTTCATATCCTGAGCTTCTAAATGCTGGGTGAATCTAGAAACCTCCTCTATTGAGAAGTGTCTGAGGAAAGAATGAAAATGCCACTATGAGAATTAAATGATAAGGAAGATGGCAGTGAATTTCATGAAAGTAGTTGAATGGCTTCTTGTATTGTGCACACAGAATCTGTTTTAACTCTGTCCCTTATCCTCTCCTGTCATCTTTTCCCTTATCTCACTCTTTCTTCTATTCCTGTCCCCGTCTCCCTCCCCTTTCCATTTTTTTCTATTCTCCTCCCCACAGAAAGTCCTGGTTCAGAGGACTCTCCGGTGGGAAGCCCCTGTGTGATTGTTAACGGTAACTGCTCTGTAAATGGGCAGGGAATGGGCAGCATTGGTGTCCTGGGTCCAGGTCAGAGTCCTGAGGGACGGCGGCTGTCACCTCTCACCAGCCCGCTGCTCACCGACGCCGGATGTGTCCGCAACGATGATGACGAGGAGGCGAGCAGGAAGGTGAGCATGGGGGAAGAGAGTGGATGTATAATGTATATTGTTAATATAAAACCTCACAAAGGAAAACGTGCTGTTGAGGGTGATGCAGGTTGTCAAACTTGCTGCTAGTGATCTTGTTCGTTTATGGTAATAAAACCAATTTCTCAACATTTAAGTGTGGAGGTTTAAATAGGTGGATGAATAGATTAAAGCTGTTTAGAAAAAGTACCAAAGGAATTTGTCAGTGGCTAGGAGAATGGGTGGACAGATGGATCGATCTCACCTTTTTGTTTCTGTCCAGAAGTTTCCCACAGACAAGGCGTACTTCATAGCCAAGGAACTGTTGACCACAGAGCGGACATACCTCAAAGACCTGCAGGTCATCACAGAGGTAAATACATTTCTGCACATGTCGTTTCTTTAGAGTACAAACTCCTACTTTTCGTGGTGATTAAGTGTTTGTTCACTCTGTCTAGCCTCGTCTATTGCCATGTCCGTGCTAACTGCAAGGCCACTCTCAACTGGCTGAGAGAGAGAAAGAGAGAGCGCTTTGAAAAGCCATCTGTGTTATGACCAGGAGCTAGTCTGGCCAAGTGTAAACACATTCCCTAAAGTACACAGCCCTGCATAGCTCACAGGGAGACTGAACCTCGGTCTCTTTAAAGCCGCTGCACTTTAATAGTGAGTCAACGCTGGTTATTTCAAAGCCCTGAGTTTTGGTACAGTGAGCTAAAGTTGGTCTTTTAAAAGCTTACATGTTGGGACAATGAGTCAGAGTTGGTTTGTGCAGTGGAATTAGGATGAGACTTTGGTGTTTTTATAGCCTAAATATCCAGAAATTGAGCTCAGTTTGGTCGTTTGAACTCCAAAATATTGGGTCAAGGGGTTTAACTTCAGCTCTCTGTTCCCGTATTTTGGCCTTTTTAATTCCCTTTTCCGAAAATGGGCTTTTATTTGCATTTAGTTTGGCCCGGGACTGAAGACTGAGGTTCAACATCTGAAGCTTTATGAGCATTTTTTTTTCTTGCGCAGGACAGATGAAAATACAGCTTCCAAGCGAGCATGTGTTACTTTCAAAATGACGCTCACTCTTTTGTTTTTCACAAGAAAGCTGTGCATGTGTTAGAATTCAGCTTAAGCTAGCATCTTGTTTCTTCTTTATGACTGCACAGACTGTCGTGGCTCTTCAGTTTACAAGTAAAACCACTTTAACACACACAGGAAAGAAAATACTCAATCTGCATCTTCAATCCTGGGATGAAAGTGCAGCTTAATTTGCGTCAGGATTTTTCTTTGCCGTTTATGTGATTTAACTTTACTGTCTGTCTGAGGGTTAGATCAGCAGCAGGAGGATTCATGAGTAGAGAGACCACCAATGTTAAAAACACAGGTCCAAGCACCTGCCTGCTGAGGACCCGTCCCGTTAATATTATGAAGCTGACCCTGACTCCTGACCTCGCTGTGAAGGGGAAAATATCATATTTCCCCTCTCGTGTATTTTTCTGCCTCTCAGCTGTTTTTCCTCTCAACAGTAGTTTCCACCTTCTTTGATGTGGGAGGAAAGGCGTGCGCTGGCACTTCTTTTGAAAACCTCTTAAATATTTTCTTTGGCTGGCAACGTTCACACCAAAGATCCCACACCCTTCCCCTCCCTCTCTTGTCTCGCTGTCACCCTTCCTCTCTCCCAGTTCTTCTGTGAAACAGCTGGACGACCCCTATAATCGTAATCGTGCCGGGGGGGGGGTTCCTCATATTTTTCATTTGTCATTTACATTTAGAAGAACTGCATTAATATTAAACAAAGCATGATGTTATGACATAGCTAGGGCTTCAACTAATGATTATTTTCCTTATAGATGATTTTGACAATTATTTTCTCAGTAGATTTTGTCGATAAGTATCAGAAAATAGAGGAAAATGCCTGTCATTTTCTAAAGTCCAGAGTGCCGTCTTGAAATTCCTTTTTTTGTGCGACCAACAGCCTAAAACCCCAAAATATACAATATATTATTACATAAACTGAAGAAAAGAAGCAAGTTTGAGAATTTCTAGGATTTTTGCTGAAATAAAAAAGACTTAAACGATCAATATATTATCAAAATAGTTGCAGATTAATTCTCTGCCTCTTAACTAATCGATGAAATGTTTTGGCTCTAAGCTTAAAGTCATTCATTGCATATCACTTCCCTTAATGTCTCTCTCAGATACAGATGTAAGGACTCTCCAGGACCTAAACTTATCAATCATATTTGGTCTTTCTGAACGATATGATTGTTAATTCTGAGTACTACACAGAGATAAGACTGTAGATGGAGAATAAATCTTAAGGAAATGTGAATATCTAGTGTTTTGTCCACATGACCACACGTGTGTGTTTGTCCATTGTAGTCTTTCAAGAGCGTCGCAGGGAAAGACGATGCCTTCCCAGACCTTGTTAAGAACCTGATCTCCGCCAGCTACGATCCGCTCTACAAGTTTCACCAGGGATTCCTCAAAGAGGTGGAGCAGCGGCTGGCACAGTGGTGAGTATCTTTCTGGGCCCCCATTTAGAAATATTTGTTACGAGGAGACAGGAAATTGCATCTGTAAAATGGCAGACGACGCAAGCATCTAATTTAAATGCACTCACATACTGTGTCGTATACATTTATTCATAAAAACAGCTACTTTTTGATCTTCTTTACAGACGATTGAAATAGTAAAACTTTTAGACAATTAAATATGATTACCAGGTGTGAACAAACCACTGATGAGAAGCATTTTAAGACCAGATTAGAGTTCAGCCATTTGCTATTGTGCTTTTGCAAGACAAAGACATTCACCCCACTGTAGTGTTTCTGTATCAGCATCTGTATCATGTTTCACAGTAACACACAACCCAAGTCAAGGATTTTAATTCAACATATTTACTTGTTTTCTTTAAGTGGAGACAAATGGGATAGTTAATAAACAGCACATTTTTTATTCACTTTTTAAGTCACATACCACCATGACATTAGGTTGTTTTAATTAAAACCTAAACCTAAACCATGGCTTCATCCTGAATAAATAAAGTGACATGAAAAGACTAATGTGACGTTGCATGGGAACTACTGCAAAGTCCTTATTTCCGCCTGTGGGAATCTTGTCTGTTATTTCACACACACACACACCCACCATGCTTTTGGAGAGGGCCCATGGACTAGCTGGTAAAATGAATGAGATTGTGGGATTTGAGTCAAGATCTTCCAGTCTTGAAAATCTTAGCTCTGGTCTGACACCTACTGGTGAGTATTTTTTACTGCACATAAAAGAAGCTCTCATTTCTTTTATCTTTCAGGGAGGGACGTTCTAATGCCCACATAAAAGGAGACTATCAGCGAATTGGGGACATTCTCCTTAAGAACATTCAGGGTCTGAGGGTAACTATACCTTCCACATATTCTTTTGCACTTTAACTCCTTGTTGTCTGTATAAGATTTGGATTACAGTTGTAGAAATGTAAAATGAGAGGCAAAAGGGTTTCCTTCTTTGTGCCTCTCTTCATCTCTTATCTTTACTTGAATCCTTTTTTCTTTCTTTTGCCTCTGCAGCAGATGACAGTTCATCTTCAAAAACATTCAGAGTGCCTGGTCGAACTGGAACGGGCCTGTAGGTAGGTGAAAGAGAACAAACCCGTACGAGGCAAAAAGTCCAAGGTTATTGGCAAGTTCTTATTCAGTTCATAAGAACATAATATTCACAAGAATCACCAGTCATCAACAGTCAAACTTTGAATGGAGGCTATTGGAAAGACTAACATTATTACCATGACACATTAGCTTTCCAAATTAATTTTTGAAGTACAGAGCATTAAGTTAAGTGTACACAGCATGTTTTGCAACCGTTCGCTTCACCAGACTTTTGCCCTCGCTTAGATCCCTAACACACCTAAAAAATAAGCACAGCAAGTTTTGTTTTTATTTTATTAATTTTTGCTTTATTGAAGGTATTAGTCAGGGACCATGTATAAAAACATTAATCCTATAAGAAAAGACAGGCTTTGTACCAAATTTAGCTTGTAGCTAGTTTCCATCTGCAGTTAGTGGGAGAGGCAGGACATAATGTGAAATTAAATAACAGAAGAAAAGAGCAAAGGATAAGCAACAGTGTCTCCATCCTCACTGTCGCTCAGGTCCAGTCGGAAGGCGGAGGCTCTGTGTCGAGAATTTGAGCAGCAGAGAGTTTGCTACCTGCCCCTCAACATCTTCCTCCTCAGGCCTCTTCACCGCCTGCTGCACTACAAACTCATCCTGGAGAGGCTCTGCAAGCACTTCCCGCCCACCCACGATGACTTCAGGGACTGCAGAGGTACATGTGTGCCTTTTATTTTGTTTCTTTTCACCCTCTTGACCTTTTCCTCCCTCATGCATATTGTTGTACTTGTGAAACTAAATTTGTCACTGTTTAATTAGAACAATGTTTTCATATTTCTTTCAGCGGCCCTAGCAGACATCTCTGAGATGGTGCTGCAGCTCCAAGGCGCCATGATGAAGATGGAGAACTTCCAGAAGCTTCTAGAGCTGAAGAAAGATTTGACCGGTATCGACAACCTCGCCATCCCCGGGAGGGTTAGACTCTTTGCATTCATTTATTGAGAGGAAGGATGTTATTAGTACAAGAGACTGACTTTTAAATAGTTTCCATGCTTGAGGTGTGAATTATTCAGTTTTAAAACAACACTTACAAGATTTCCTACATTCTGCTAATTTATGTATCTCAGCTTTCACTCTTGCTGTCATGTTTTCTACAGCATGTTTGTGTTTAACTTGCAGGAATTTATCAGGCTCGGTTGCCTCAGCAAGCTCTCAGGAAAGGGTCTTCAGCAGAGGATGTTCTTCCTGGTATTACATTTCAGCTACTTTTCAAAGTGTATCTAACATCGGCGATGAAAACAAACGCTAACTAACACTTCTCTCTTTTCTTCCTTCTCTTTGTCCTCTCCAGTTCAGTGATTCCTTGGTTTACACCAGTCGAGGAATGACCCCGTCCAACCAGTTTAAAGTTCACGGCCAGCTGCCCCTGTATGGCATGACGGTATGTGAAGATTAACTGTTTTTTAACCTGCAAAGTTACAAAAACTTTTACAGTGAAATTGTATTTTATTTAGGGCTTATTGTTACAGTGGTTATGGATTCTATTACATGCATGTACATTTTCCGACCAAATGTTGCGAGTACTGAGGTCTCCCGCTAAGGAGTGTGTTTGTTTGCAGATCAGAGAAAGTGAGGAGGAGTGGGGAGTTCCTCATTCGTTCACCTTGTTTGGACAGCGGCAGTCTGTGGTGGTGGCAGCCAGGTATACATCAACACACACGTAAACACACGCAAGACCACAAACAGAAGGTGTAATATTTAAAATATTTAGTGTGAATGTATGTAATGAGGGAATATTACAAGAATGGATGTGTTTTAGTTATTTAATTTAAAGTTTCATACAGGTCCACCTTATAAAATGGTATTTTTTCTACAGGACTTCTGCCACAGTTTGGTTGTCCTCTAATGAAATAGGACTGTGTGACCTATTTTCCATTCAGTTACTCAATAAAAAGTTTAATCTGTGGCTGTATAATAGAGACTGTATTGCGCTACGCAGACTTGATTGTGACTTTTTACTGTGTTGATCAGACCCCGAGCACCTTTTTTTAGAATGGCGATACATATTCTTTCTGGTTCTTTCAGGTTCTTTCTGTCTGTAATTGATGTTTCCCTAATATCTCTTACTCGCTGTCCTCTTCTCCGTCTCTGTCCAGCTGTGCGTCAGAGATGGAGCGGTGGGTGGAGGACATCCGGATGGCCATTGACCTAGCGGAGCAGAGCAGCAGCACAAACACTGACCTTCTATCCACCAGCCTCTCTGACAACAGTAAGTCTGTCCTCTGATGTATGTGTGTGAAAGAGACTCCGCATGGAACTAGAACAGGTCTGTAGTTTCCCCTCAGTTTAAAAAAAAAAAAGGATTTGAATTATCAATCCGGAGTTACTGTGACTCAAACCTGCTAATTACTTCCTGTCCAAACATCCCTAAATCATCAAAGTATTTCAGGACTGTCTGAGACACTGTGGGAACCAGAAAGTTAAGTCCCACAGGAGAGGTATTTCTGGAAATGTTTTGTCACCCATGACTGCTTTGCTTGCCAAAATCTCCCAGCTGAAGTTAATATGACACAGGAACTTAAGCTGGGACCTGTTAGCTGTACTGACTAATATCTGCTTCCATCAATAAGGTCTTTCTGTGAGGGAAATGGATGATCTCTCTGCCTATAGTCTACATAACTATACACACCCCACGGACTGAGGATAAATTTCAGTCTCTACCTCCCTTTCTTTTCCTGTAACAGGACAGACGGCTGCTTTTAGCACCTCATGAATAATCCCACTGAATTGTTCCAGGTGGTCTTTGATCATATTTTTAATGTCACCTGATATATGTGGGTCCATGACCCAGCTGTTGCCCCCCCCTTCTCTTCTTCTCTTTACTCATTCTTCATCTTAAACGTCTGTCACAATGTTAAATGAGGCCTCCACCTGGTGAACTTTGGTGCAATGTCTCCATTGTCCCTCGGTTAAATTACCTGCCATGTACATGTACAACTCCAACAGTTGAAGGGGTATTAACTTACAAGTAATGACAAAAAGGCAATTGTTCTCCTTTCGTTTGGCTCAGCACTTTGTCCTGTTTGTGCACACATTTTCAGACTGAGATGAATATTAACATTTTATTTATCTGTTACGATTTGATTTGTGTATGCTTTTATATATTTTTGCTGTAAGCACACAAAAATAGCAAAACAAAATTTGGTAAGGATAGCTCGGTTAGCTGTACTCAATAATGACCAGAGTGAATCTATTAAAGCCAGACTGTTGTTAACAAAATTACATCCAAGTCTAATAAAAGGGTCTACAACCTAAAAAAGCCAAAGCATGAGGCCCAAACCAAAGTGTGCACATAGTGTGCTGCTGCTCTGGATCCAGACAAGTTGTCAAATGGCAATTTTGATTGTCAGCTGCAGCCAGTTAAAATACAGAACATTAGCCAGTTATGTGTAACAAAACAATCTTCAGGATATTGCAGAGCTTGTTTCTCGGGGGTTTAGTCCTGATTCGATCCATCGATTTATCAACAATAAAAGCTGTAGTAGTAATAATAATAATAATAACTGTAATAGTCAGCCGTCTCTAATCAGCACTTCTGCATTAAGTTCTAGGAAGAATGCCATGACAACATTGTTGTAGTTTCACATTTTGTACCCCAAAAAAAGAGCTCCAAAAGCGAAATAAAAAAATAAAATACAAAGTTGACGCTTTTAATTATTTCCAACCCCTCAACAGCTGATGGTAGAGTTTATATATTCCTGAAAGCTTACTTTGTTTGCTGTTATAAGATGATTAGAGGCCCAAAACCAAAGGTGCTAAAGGGCTATCAGACAAGTCAGAAATATAGCCCATTATAATAAATAATACTGTTAGATAATTATATAGAGAAAAAAAAGAAATGTAAAGCTGTTCACTTCAGTTGAAACCTCCATATATTTGGTAAAATAAAGAGAAAGATTTTTTATCTGTTTTATTTACCACTGAAGGGTTGATAAAAATGAATTAAAACTTATTTTATTTTATATTTATCTTTCACTAGCTCATTTTATTTTACAACAACTATGTTTTACTATATTTGGTCTTTTAAGTGCCATTCATTATGCTTCTGTACTTACCAACTTATTAGAGGTTTTAGGAAAAGTTTAAAGCTTTATATTTCATATATTTACTCTTTTATTATCTAGCTAATCATGTTATTTATTGATAGACTATACTGACTTGTCTGATAACCTTTTACTCCATTTTGTCATTTACAGGGCTTCATTACTCAGGCAAGATTTATGAAGAAGGAAGGAATTTAATACTAAAACCTGAAATGTATTAGTCAGTATTTCAGAAACGCAGAGGAAACTATATTTTAAAAACTAATTATGTTAATAGAAAGCCATAATGTGCTTTATATTTGTGCGAACAATGCTGCTATTATGTTTTTATGATTTTTATCCAGAATTATTTATTAGTGTTATTTATTATATGCTTGCCTAATTCACTTATATCCTCTTAACTATACCTTTTGATTTAATTGTAATCATTAATCAAATAAGCTCATATCTCTGTAAAGGACTTTGGTCAACATTTGCTGTTTTTAAATGTACTCTACAGATAAACTGACAGTAAAAATCAGTTTATTAAATGGTGGAGAGTTTGTGTCCATTTAATTTAAAATCCTACCCAGTGAGAGCTCAGCTCTGTCTGCTAACCAGCATGTTTGACCTGCCCGTCGTTCCCCAGAGCTGTCGGAGGATGGTGGAGCTGAGCTGGAGTCGGAGGAGGAGCTCTGTGGCTCGCGCTCGTCTCTAGAGCGTCAGGGACACCGTGGTAACACCACCGTGCACGTGTGCTGGCATCGCAACACCAGCGTGTCCATGGTGGACTTCAGTGTAGCTGTGGAGGTACCCGTCTGTGTTTGTGTGCTATTAATCGTCTTCTCTCTTCAGCTCTTTTTTCCTACCACACATCACATACCCATTTTCCTGTTAGGACTCTTGTAGCTGTGTTGCAAGTTTTTGTTCAGTGCTTTTAGTCTGTGTCGTCTATCCTAGTCCTCTTTTCATCTTACTTTTCTTCACGTCTCCTTTCCTCTCTTTTATACCTCCATCTTTACCTCTTTCACTATGTGTCTTTCCTATCTCCATCTTCTATTTGTCTGTTTGACCATCCACGCTGACATAACTAGAGGCCTGTAGTCTGTCCAGTGAGTTGACGAGGCCCCTCTGCAGACTTCAGGGGCCCAAGTCTCTCTCTGTGGTTTGCTGGTACAGAACACACAGCCTGTCCTTTAGTGACACCTGCTGGAGTCTGAAGGTACTGCAAAAGCAAACATGTATTGATCCATGTAGGGAAATTCACATGATGATGAATCCTCCTGATAAATGGAGAGAAAATAGAGATAATTACATTTTACTGGACATACAAAAGTACTGGATATTAAATATTCCTGAATGTTTGGTAGCACTGTACCAGCCTCTTGCCAAACAAGTTAAACGTGAAAGAGTTTTACAGTGTACATACAGTGTTTTAAAGTGTAATTACAGCTAACATATTTTTCTTTCCTGTCTGTTCGCCCCCATTTTATAGGTTTTAATGGAATCTGACTTTTTTATTTAGCGTTGCATGGCTTTTGTTGACCCTGTTCTCTTCTCTTTCCTCCTCTTTTGTGTTTCCAGAACCAGCTGTCAGGTAACCTGCTGAGGAAGTTTAAGAACAGTAACGGCTGGCAGAAACTCTGGGTGGTCTTCACCAACTTCAGCCTCTTTTTCTACAAGTCACACCAGGTTAGATACAGTAACAGTGAAGTGAAAACGACACTGTAATGAATTGATATGGCAATTGGTCTGATAAGGGAAAGTGGGATACGTATTATGATTGCTACTAACTGAAGATGATTATTGAGCATCTCCTGTCCCTCTGGCTCGTCTGCTCACAGGACGACTACCCTCTGGCCAGCCTTCCTCTGCTGGGCTACTCTGTCACCGTCCCGTCTGAGTCGGAGAACATCCACAAGGACTACGTCTTCAAACTCCACTTTAAATCCCACGTGTACTACTTCAGATCAGAGAGCGAGTACACCTTTGAGAGGTACCTTACTGTGGGTGATCACTGGTGGGGATGTATAACGTTATAATTAACCCAATACCATAGCTACAGTGAGGAAAATAAGTATTTGAACACCCTGCTATTTTGCAAGTTCTCCCACTTAGAAATCATGGAGGGGTCTGAAATTGTCATCGTAGGTGCATGTCCACTGTGAGAGACATAATCTATAAAAAAAAAATGCGCGAATACGTGCTGCCTGCAGCTCTGCAATCAACTACGCCTATTTAAATAGGCCTAGTAAAAATAATCGAAAATCAATATGTCGCGGTCAGCGTTGATATTGTGGTGGGCCGCCACAAATAAATGAACGTATGGGAGACACTATAACTTATCTACTCATGTTCCAAATTTTCTGCAAATTCTGAACCTCTTCCACTATGTGTGTTCTCTGACATCTAACCCCCTAACCCTAACCCCGATGAGAAACACTACCTTAGAGCATGGAAGCATCAGCCAGCTAAACTTTTACTGCCCTGGTAGAAAAATCATGTAAGGTTAGTTGGATTGGTTTATTCTCCAGCGCTGGCTTTGGCCTGTGGTGTAAAATATGTAGTTGGATTAATTTCATGTAGTTACTCTCTCTCCAGCGCTCTGTTTTGGCTTTGTCTATTACGTTCATGAGACAATCAGCTGATCACTAATTGGCAATAAAACGGGGCAATTCGTAACCCTCACCACTAGATGATACACATTGAACCTTTAACATTGTGTCTGCAGCACAGGAGTGAGAATGTCCCTTATCTACAGATGTATCAGATCTACAGCTGTAAGGGACTGTGCTGGCTTGTGTTCCTTTTAATTAAAATGTCCAAAATGAGTAGCACAACATTGTTTTTCACAACAAATTTTTTTACCTATGCATATATGCAAACTAAAACCAGCCTTACACCTGGACACCTGTCATAAACAACAAAATATATGTACCTGTATTTTATCAACTAAAGAATAATTTCAAATATTATTTGGCCCTTACACTAATGAACTTCAGTTCTAATGCCAGTAAAAATATATTTTTTAGAAACAATGATTTATATCACCAACCGAGCCTTGTATAATTTTTCCTCCTCTCCAGGTGGATGGAGGTGATCCGCAGCGCCACCTGCTCTGCCAGCCGCTCGCTGCCAACCAGGAAAGACCTTTACTGATGAATCTGCCCCCCTCCCTTGTCTCCCCCTCCTCCCCCCTCACTCTGCACAGAGATACACTTGCCTGGGTGAAGATCTGGACTTCATGCTGCACAAACAGCAGAAGAGACTCTTATTATAGAATCACTTTGCACACAGCAGGCGCTCGAATCCATACTAAAAAGTACCTTTGAAACGTTGATTCAGACACATCCTCCCACTTACCCTGCTGTACTTAACCTCCTATTGCACACTTTCCGCACCACCACAAACTGCCTGTGATGGCAGTCGTCCATGACGTGACTCATGTCATTTCATTTTTTTTCTACGCCAAAATGGCAGCACAAAGTCTTGCTGGCAATGTTTTCCTTTAACGACCTTTATTTTTGTGTTTGTGCCATTGAGTGTTGTTCACATGCACACACACGGATTTAATATTCACCCCAAAAATGCATCCTTTTTACAAGAAGGATTTTTACCTTTATGATAAACCTGAATGAAATACACAGGGTTTACCAGAAGTATTTGGGACACCGAAGCAACAGTTTGTGCACCATATTGTATTTGCAATATCGCAAATGGTATGTTTCCTCGGTGAATAATTAGTTCAACGGCACATTTGTGCTGAGAATAAAAAATGTATATAAAATGCATGAATTAGACATACACCAGGATTTTACCTGTGTGCATGTGAACACACTCATGGTGATGAGTATTTCTTTGTTTGTGTGACAATCTATGTATAATTTAGATTAATTAAATGTGACGCCAGTTTGGACACAATTAGAAAACAAGCATCCTTTCCTTTTTTTTAAGGCAACTTTTTGTACAGTACTTTGATACACTGTGAAATGTTCTTTGTTTTTTTTCACGTTTCCCCCTGTAAGTTTTGCTTTGTTTAAAAAAGACAACTGACTTCCAATCTGCTTCCAACGCCAACAGAGATTCGACTGGTTTGTTTGCCAAATACCTTCTTCTACTATTCTAAATAAAATAAAAAAAGAAGAAAAGAATGTGTTCATAAGAAAAAAGAAAAAACTCAGAATTTGATCGGTTTTATTTTTTGTTGTTTTTATCTAGTTTTCATAGGGACACAATCCCAGATGGGATCAGAACAACACAACATGGAGGAAGATTGTGGAAAGACTTTTTTTCCCCAAGGAAAACAGAAAGTAATCGCAGGTACAACGGTGGTGGTATAAGGATGAGCGGGAAGCTTCAAGTGTTTTCTTGGAATGTTTTTGTCAAACCTGTTTTATGGATGAAAAATGTAACACAGAACTGCCTCTACATGGTGTAAGTCATCTGCTCAAATAGTTTATTAAAGAGAACGGGACCCGCAGCCTGTTGCACCACCTGTGCGTAAGTCCAAACCTAGCCTAGTTATAATGTCAACTATCTGTGAAATAAAAGCAGTTGCACCATGGAGATAAGTTACACATGACCCAGGGCAAGTGTAAATCACAAAATTAAGTCTTTACTAATGGTAAAACTGCAGCCTTTCTGCCACATGGCATCATTTTTCATTAACTGCATGTCAGTTTGCAACACAGTAGAGACTTAATTTATTGATATGGTTCAATATTGGTCTAGCTTTACTACGATGTGCTACGATGACAAGTGGCTAATGCCAACCAGAACGCTATAGCACACAGTAACCATGACGCTGGACTTCTTATCTTTGATCGTTGATTGGCCTTCATTACAACTTTACGTCTAAACTAGTCAGGTTATGACCCAAGTAACCGTGGTGCAACCAATTTTAGTAGCTGATTTAGTTACAAATTAACTAGAAGTTACCAAGACTCCAGTGTCGACTTTACGATTATTCCCTGCCTTAGTAATTACTCCCTTTATATAAAAATAGAAATATGAATTTCCAATATTTTTACCTTCATATGTCAAAGTGATTAAGTGTGATGTTACTGTGTACCTGCTCCACTGACATTACTTGGAGCTCTGATTTGTACAGAGGTAAGACTTTGTGGATCATATTTGCTACCTATACTCAGGATCTATATCACACTCGTCTTTCTCTGGTCACATACTCGAGCCCGTGATCTCCATACGCGTCATAGCTCTCGTACTTGGGCAGCGAGGGCCAGTCAGGCTGGTACGCCATTGTGCTGTACACGAACGCCTCTATGGCGCTTCCCGCTGCCAGCCTCTCCTCTCCCTCTGTCTGCCCCGCCCACTCCATCACCTCCAGTTTGACCAGAGTCCGCTGGTACATGGTGGGAACCCCTTCAAAGGCGTCCAGGAATGTCAGCATCTGGTCGTCCACTTTGTATATCTCTCCTTGGACTTGGTGACCCTGGTCAGGGATGTTGAGGAGGAAAGGGATGTTGTAATTCCCGGCGATCACTAGCGGGTATTTGTGGGTGGTGCGGGCTGAGGCGAGGAACTCCGCCTTACCATTGGCGCTGTCCAACATACGGTTGTAGTTGGGCTGGCCCTTTTTCAGGGTGCCATAGACAAAGACACGAGCCATGTGTATGAAAGAGGGCGCACACACCTGTAAAACAAAGCAAGGAAGAAGGGTTGGGGGAATGCTGTGAGATGTTATTTAACTTCTTTGTTTTATATTTCTCTGGCAGATACATTTCAACATTTGCTGCACTGATTTATAGGCATGCAACAAAACATGCAGACGTATGTATGGCCGCATGTATTGGATACTTAGGTAAAAAGAGGAGCAGAACTGTCAACTGAATCTGAGTGTTCAATGTTCAAAGCCTCCATTTTTCCAGCGGCTAGAAGGAGCTGAAGTCAGAAGGTCATTGGTTCCCATCGTGGACTCGTCTACCCCTACGTAGCAGATGCCAGAATGGACAGATGTCAATCATGTACAGAAGTACAAAATGAGGCTTTGCTATGTCACTGGTGAGAATGCTCCCAACTGGATGTTGCTCGGGAAGGGGCACCACAGGGAAGATGGTAGTATAAATCCAGAAACGTTTGTTTATAAATGTTAATAGCTTGTTGTAAGATATGATTGTTTCCAGCGTTCAAAACATATGGGACAAACTATTCTTCAGTTTTTTAAAACTTTGTATGCAAAACATGAAAGAAAGCCGCTAACTTCTTATAAAATGCTTTAAAAGTTGGCACATGAACTTGAAAAAAAGAAAAATGTTAAACTTTATATAATCTTAAATGTGTAAATGTAACGTATCTCAGTGATACAGACTAAATTGGAAAATGAAGGTCATATTTTAAACAAATAAATATTATTAATTTAAGATGTCTTAAATAAAGCCCTTCCACGCTGTCTCAAAAGCAAAGCATCACCCGGATGCTTGGCCATTTAAAGGTATTTCAACAGGTACAAAGGACTGGATTGATTGGTACACAGAAAGTAAAATAATGTAGAGTCATAAGGACAATTGCAAAAGAGATCATGTCTTTATTTTATCTATAACTCAGCAGTAAATCATGTTAATTATAGGATACAATCAGTTTTCCAAATTAAACAAGGATATTAGACATAGGCCTACCAAACTATAAATAATCCATCGGCAACAACAGGCTTCTTTAATTGCCTATAATCACGTGAATGTCATGCGTGGTTATCAAATGCAAACACTTATTTGGCCACAACTGTGATTATTCCGTAAAAAAAACGTTAAAGTTTCACAAAGACATACTTTTGCCATCACCACGGACAAAAAGTGATGTTTATTCGCACGTTATGTCTGTGTGATCCAGATAAAAGCAGCTGTAGACGTAAAGAGACCGGGCGAATCACCTGCGCGCGCTCCCGCGGACGGCAATCACTTTTCGGCACGAGTTCAATCTCAAAACCTTTTACACCAGATTGAACGGCATGTTTCCTTGCAACGTTGCGCAACGTTCTGCAACGGGTTTCAAGGTATGTTTTCTCCCGTTTGGTGGGCGTGTCTCATGTGTTACCCAATCTACTGCAACAAGTTTGTAAACACAACGGCGTTAAAAAGCCAGGAAAATGCAGTGCGCTTGCGTACACAACAGGGTGTTCAGGGGACCACCGTTTCCGTTGAAAAAAACGTTTTGCTACGTTTTGTCTGCGCTGAACTCGCCCCTGTCCTCGTATTGTTGAAGCACTGATTAATTCACTTAACACCCGTTTTTAGTGTGAAACAAGAAGGTATGAACATAGCGGTAGTTATGGTGAAAACCATGACCGGGAGGACTGAAACCCTTAACACATAAGTTAACGTTACACACACATTGCGATTGTTGCGGTTCCTTGCCATTCACTGCGGTTGGCATGTAGATGTTTATCATAGAAATGATAACACGGGGCCTCCCGCGCGCGCCTCGTGTCCTTCACCTTAAAATGACGGAGTTCAATCTTACCAGGAATGTGATGAAGGTGTTGGCTGGTAGTTTCATTAAAATTGTCGGTTCGCGGAAGCGCTTCTTCCCTCAGTCAGCCAAGAATAGGACAGCGCATGCGTAGTAAAAATCAGATAGAGGGCTCTTCTTTTTTTGTTTTTTTTCTTCCCGTTCTTCCTCCATTTATTTATTTATTTAGCATAATACAAAACCAACAATTCTAGCCCCTTAGGACAAAAACATAGTCCAGGACTAAGTATATAAACAATAAGGTGCGAGTTACAAGTACACAAACAGCTAGAAAATAGGATAGGAACAAACAAATGATCAAAACATTACTGGACAGGAATAAAAATAAATAAATAAAATTTTCCATTTTAACCTCTGGTTGGGGTCCAATTAAATGACAAATCTAACAAAAGTGTATAAAGTAATATAGCCTTCTTGGAATTAACTATCTTCATTGAATCTAAGTAGAGAGATAGCTCTTTCAGAAAAACAATGAAATGTGGGGTGTTTAAGAATTTACATTTGTGTAAAAAGTACTTCACTAAAATTATCAGGTTGTTGTATAAAAATTCCAGTTTTCTGTCCTCCATTATAAGACCCAGTCTAACATTACTATAAGTCAAGGCTGGTATGGTCAGATTACTATGTAATAGTAAATCTTGGAAGTCCTCCCAAAATAATTTAGAAATATTACAAGAGAACATTAAATGTTCAATGTTTCTATTTCTGTATTGCAGAATACGCATTCATTAGTCAAGTCAATGTTAAATCTTAGTCGTAAAAATTCTTTGCAGGGATATATGTCATTCATTATTTAAAAATGTACTTCTTTAGCTTTAGGTGGTATATGGAAACTGAGGTATTCACATCTAAGAGGTCACAGAGGTGTATTTCTGTAATATATAGGCCTATTTTCTTTTAAGAGGCGATGGAAAACATTTCTTGGTTAGAGAAGATCTTAAAAACTTGTTATTACATTTCTCATCCAAAAAAGAGCATGCTTGATAGACGGTGCTTCTCAGGTCTTTTAATTGCATCCACGTTTCCCTGCCTGTAACCATGGCTCTAACCAAGGGGGTAAGCCAGAGATCGGACAGTGAAGCCGACCAAAGCAAGTATATCCAGCTGCATCCTGCATGGAGGGATCCATGTAGGCCCAAAAATGACGTCAAAACCCTGTGACACCCCGTCGCACATGAGAGATGTAACCGTATTGTTTAGATTATAAGCTCTAAGCAAACTATTCGGCCATCAGTGACGCTGCCTTGGTGTTTCACAGGTGAGCCTCATAGCTGGGCTGATTAATCAGTGACGATCCGAGTCAGACAAACACACTGAGCCATGAAACTTTTTTTAAAATTTTTTTTACATGGTTAAATTTAAGAGATATCAATACAAACTGGGTTTTTTTTTTGTGAAGACCACCCAGAAACTGTTTTGCACCTCTTTTGGTATTGCTCACACACCAGAACATTTTGGCAAAACCTCAGCAGATTTATCTTTGACCATATCTATAAAGACTTTGCCTTATTGTGGACGAATGTTTTGCTTTTATAGGATAAGCTTCCCCTGGCAAAGCTTTATATAATTTTGTCTGTTTTATATATGTATTTGTATACTGTTGTGTATATCTTTATAAGTCACATCTGAATTGTAACCCCCTTTTTGCAATAAAATGACGTAAAAAAAAAAAAAAGCCATGAAACTTTTTG